GGTTCTTACCCACGAAAGCTTATGCTCCCAATACTTCTGTTAGTCTTAAAGGTGCCACAGGACCCTTTGTTGCATCTTCCAGAGAGTCTCACATGGATACAGACACAAAAAGTGGAACCCCTCAATGTTTAAGGGCCTGATCCAAAGCTCAGTGAAGAGACTCCTTTTGACTTCAATGGGCTTTGGATCAGGGCCTAAATACCCAGAGCGTATTTAGAAAGAGGTTCTTCATTTTCTTTCCTTAGTTCACAATATGGGCCTGATTCTTTTCATTTACAACTAATGTAACTCCAGTGAAAGGAGAATCTGACCCTACTAGAAGTTTTGCCATTGGCATCATTGAGAGAAGGATCCAGCCTATATGTTTAAATGCCACTTTTCTTCAGCATTGCCACACACACACACACACACACACACACACACACACACCTCTTAGCAGGATTTCTCAAACTTCATTGCACCGTGACCCACTTCTGCTAACAAAATTACTGCATGTCCCCAGGAGGGGGGACCGAAGCTTGAGCCCACCCAAGTCCTGTTACCCCAGGGAAAGGGGGCCAAAGCCCGAGCCCTGCTGCCCTGCCTGAGCCAAAGCCAAACCTGAGCCTCACTGCTCCACGCGAGGGGGCCAAAGCCAAAGCCCGAGGGCTTCAGCCCCAGGCGGAGGGCCTGTAACCTGAGCCCTGCCACCCAGGGCCGAAGCCTGAGGGCAGTTTGGCTTGGGCCCCAGGCCCCAGCAAGTCTAACACCAGTTTTGGTGACCCCATTAAAACAGGGTCATGACCCACTTTGGGGTCCCGACCCACAGTTTGAGAACCGCTGACTTATTAGATATGCTCAGCAGCTGCAACCCCTGTCTGGGAGCCAAAAATCCACTTCTCAGTTTGTTAGCCTCCCATCAGTCCACAGTGCTACTGCAGCTTTGTCTCTGAACCTACTGTTTTGGAAAGGGAATTCTTGACACAAATATGAATGTTGCCATAAAACTGGCATTGGCCATAAAACCCCACTGAGCACAGGCTTCAGAGTTGTTAGATTTGTCTGATTAATGACATTACAAAGCACATTTAGAACATTATATAGGTCAGTTATTGTAAGTTCGTTTCTGACTGAGCTTCCAGGGTGTTATTTTTTGCTTCATGAAGATTCATTAGTTCTGCTCCATTATAGTCAGTCATTGTGCTTAGGCTGGTAAGATGCTACAATCCTTACTCAGGTAACATCCCTGTTGCTGCCAAGGATTTCAGAATTTCATCCAGAGTTCTCCATTTCACTCTTTTCAGCTTTGCCTGCAATTGGAAGAGACACTTTTGGATGGAAGAAAGCCAGAAATACTCTGCTTTTGAGTCAGCGATTTGCATCCACAGTATGTTCGTCCAACTACTTCTATTGACAACTTCCATTGTTGCCATGGACACATTAGTCTCTCTATATTAGCTATTCCTCTTGGAGAGAAAGTCAGCCCAATTAAGCAAAAAGAAGCCTGTTTGAAGTTTTTATTTATCAGGTAATGACTGACAAGAGCTTGAGGCAACAACTATGGGAACTTAACACTATGGCCATTCATTACCAGGGTACAAAGAGAACCACAAGTGGGTCATGATGATTGCTTTAAGAGTTGAGTTTTATTTAAAGAAAAAAAAATAACTTATCTACTGCTAAAAAATGTGTGCTATTTCCACTCCCCCACTCTACTTATGCTCGTCAGTGGACACCTAAATAACCTCAGAGATTTTAAAGAATAGAACATGAAGGTTTATTTCAATACACACATTATCTTATGTTCTGTCATTTGCATTCCTTTGTTTGTTGCTGGGTCTCATTTGCTGACAGTAAGTGTGAGGTGGTTTAGAATTTTAAAATTTGAGTATTGGTACCTTGCTATCTTAATGCAGACATTAGAATCAATAAAATTAATGAGATCCTATCTAATAAATGTCCCTTCTTTCACTGGTTTCAGAGTAGCAGCCGTGTTAGTCTGTATCCGCAAAAAGAACAGGAGTACTTGTGGC